TTCAGGAAAGATTTCATTTTCTGAATATAGCTTTGCACAAGATGATGAGGGATATTGCTTTCTTATTTTGTATCCAAATCTGTATTTCTTTTCAATTAGCACGCATTCATGATCAAACCACTTTGTAGCTTACTTCAGTTCTTTCCAACTCATCCAGAAATAATATTCTTAGTATTAAGGGACAAGAGTTATTATAAGCATGAATCCATCTATCTACTGAAATGAATGTAGGTTTCATGAAACCATCCAATAACAAACAAGCATTTATAGATATAAATAACCCTAATAAGTATATTCCACTCTTCAATCTCCCTCTAAAGCACCATTAACTTCTCAGTTTGCTAAACCAAGCTCCTCGCCATCTGTTTTAACACAAAATCCTGCCAGATGACTTCTTAAGTCCTTTACTTCTAGGTACTATAACAATTGCTCCTCATAATAATTCTTAAATTGCAGAAATAAGAAATGATAATTTGACCTAATTCTAGTATCCATACTAGAGTTGTACTATTATCTGTAATCTGGGTATGCAAACCAAGTGGAGACATGCCTATACTAACCAGACAATTTGTGATCTGTTGGGTTATTCCTCTTTCCACATATAATATAGGCTTGAGCATCTCATCTCCCTCAGGAAAACCTCAGTGAAGCAAACTCCTCTCCTCTACTCCCTATATTGGTGTGTCCCCAAGGACCCCCTCCATCCAGGGAGGAAGAGACTTCACCTGTTGATGCTGGTGCCCCCCAACCAACATCCAAGTCATCCTTCATCCTTCCTCCACCAGCCACACCATTAAGAGATTTCAAATTTTGATCTTGATTCCAAAGCAGCCAATGGCTACTTGCCCTTTGGGTCTTTCTGTCAGCTGAATAGGTACAGGGCACAAGGGAGATGGGGAAAGGGCAGCGACACACCCCTTCCATCTTCCCTCACACAAGGCAACCTATGCATTTCTGGGAAGTGTAGTCATAAGGCATGGTAGTGCCAAAGTAGTCACAAATTTGCCAAATTTCAATCTTATGGAAGTCATAGGTCCCGGATTTTGGACACATTAGTTATCCTGTTGGAGGTATTTTTTATTCAAAAATTGTTGTTCTATGATGCCCCATTCTGTTCAATTGAAGGTTTCAAAGTATCAGATGTGAGAGTTTTGGATATATATGTATATGTATATATATATATGTATATGTATATGTATATATATTCATATTGAGACTCAATTTAGAGACTAATATCAATCTCTAAAGATGACAATAGAATATATAGTCTTGATTGATACTGATTTGCCTGTTTTTCTTATTAAATGAGGGCCATCTCACATACTGAAGGTGTGCATAATATTGATCCAATAGAAGTCTATTGTGACTGTTCTGTTTGAAAGCCTTATGGATTATTCAGGGTCATACGAAGCAGTCTTAACAGGTGTAGGCATTATTTTGCATGCCCACTCCATGTTGACATTTTACCCAAAGCTTGGAAGACTGTTGGGCAAGATGCCAAAGTTCTGTAGAAGCAATCAAAATCCTAAGAGCATTTGTGATGTGACTTATGTTGAAAGCAGAGCACTAATCCCTTAACACCATGAAGAGTAAGGAGCTGTATTATATCTGGTGTTACACTTAGGTTCTAAGCATCTGCAAGAGATATTTATGATTCATTTGGTATTGCCCTGAAGAAGGGTTGATTCTTTTCTATTGACAGCATAATTTTAATTGCAAGTAATATACTTGGCCTTTGTTGCCAAGATGTAAAATCAGCTTACTATCTTAATGTTTGTTTTATGTATAAGAAATATAATACCCTTGTCAATATAGGAGTTTCATTTTGTTTTATAATCCATATTAGAATACCATTATTTTTTCAGAGCAAGAAATCCTTTTTTCTATTAAGGCTTTTAATTCCTCTGGCTTATTAGTTTCCTGCAGCTCTTCAAAAACAGATACTGTTTTGTGTACAAAAGTTTTACAACCAAGGACAAATCTGTATAGCTTTCTAATCAGTTACGGTTTCATCTTTTTCATTCTTCAATTCTGTACCAACTTCTTCTCCTTTACTTCCATCTACCACTATCTTTTTGGCTGACAGAAATAGTCAACATCTCAGTCTAGTAAAGAATAATATTTAATATCTGATATGATGAGAAGAATGTGTGATTTTTTTCTGTATTTAAACAGTTTTATATTTTCAGTTGCTTATCCATTTTTTGTGGTTTAAATTACCTCCTGAGGCATTTCCAGGTGTGTTCTTTATCATGCTGCAATGCTCTCTAGTCATTTTAATGCTCAAGTGTGCTTCCCATTCAATTTCTCATTTGCAAAGCAACCTAATAAGCAAGGTAGGAACAAGGATTATAAAATTACTGGTCCACCCCAGGTTGTTGTATACCAAAGAAACTGTCTTCATTCCTACTTCATATCAAAGGGAAAGGACACTGCTTGCATACAGGTATTCTTTGATTTACAACTAGTCATTTAGCAACCATTTGGAGTTAAGATGGCTTCAGAAGGGATGTTTTGTGACTGTGATGACTCAGGACAAGGCATGAAGGTCATACAGCCAGCTGAGTTCAAGCACCCTTTTAATGGTCCAAATGTCCCCTCAAATGCTTCCACGTTCTTGGCAAGTTCCAGAGCAAAGCACACACACACACACACACACACACACACACACACACACACACACATGGCAGCCTCTGGCGGTGCCCAGTCCAGCAAAACAAAGGAATAGGGAAATGAATCCATGAAACAAGGAACAAACAATAAGTCCACAAACCAAGGAACAAAGTCCACAAAGTCAGGAAGAAGATACTGAATCCACGAAGTCAGAAAGAAGGCACTGAGTCCACAAGTAAGGAAGAAGCAAGCAGTCCTGAAAACTCCAAATGTCTGTACCAGCACACCAAACCCTACCAATTCAGCATTTGCTCCAAACAAATGACCCTCCACACAGCATCTCCTTAAATCTGTCCCCAGGTGTACCTTGCAAAGAGGGGCGGGGTGCTCTCCTCCCGAGTCGTCGGGTTGGCCTGCACTGTTCCTGCCTTCTCTCCACTCTCCATGCTTGGGGATCAGGAGGGTGCAGTCTTTGCTCATCACCTCAGCTCCGTCGCTCCTAATGTCCACTGCTTGCCCTCATTCCTCTCTGATGACAAGCCGTCCCAATCCTGAGGGACCCTGGACTGCCTCGGCCCGTTCTTACACACATTCCTCTGAAGCCAACAAAGCCGCCCCTTCGATTTCTGTCAGCTCTAGCTCTGGCTCATCGTCCTCCACAAATTCAGGCTTCAATGGGGGCATGATAGTGACCAATAAAGCGTGCCATGACTTATGACTGTCAAGATTTAAGACTAAAATTCCAGTCCCAATTGCAGTCATAAGGACTATCTGTATTCCATTTATCTTCATAAAGTCTGCTTTTAATGCATCATATATATATATATATAAAAAAAAAGCCTTCGAGGAAGCCGTAAAACTGGAAAGTCACCCTTTTCTTTAAATACTTGGTATTTAAACTTCAGGATTGGGGAGTGAGGAAATAATTTTTGCAAGTGGGGAAGCACATTGCTCATAACTTCTAGGAACACAATATTTCAAAGCAAAATATGAGTGCTATTTATTCTGTAGTTTCAAATATGCTTCAACCAAACTAGAAATACATTGGCTCCAATCTCAACTAATGAAACAGCGGAGATTTGGAGCTGGTTTTGAACTAACAAGAGTCCTGGTGCAGAAAGGCCTTAGTAAGAGTACCAAGGCAGTCTGGGAGAGAACAAGAGGTTAATTTAGCTGCATCCACTTTGTTTTGTTTTATTGAGTCGGCCCCATGAACGTAACCTTGGACTATAAGAAGTTCCTCCTGTTCCTGATTACAGGAACACAGAAGATGTTTTATATTTATTAAAGCTTCCACATGAGTATTTCAATGTTGTCAACACTCATAAGTTCATCCACATTTGAATCCAATTCTGACCCCAGTGGACAGAATTGTCCATATGGAATCGATTACAAACCTTGGGTAGAAGGGTCTCAATCTTCAAAATAAATCCAAAGAATCATAAAATATAAGGATTGGAAGAGACATTGATGTTTATTAGTTCAGGGGTGTCAAACTCGCAGCCGGCAGTCCAGATGTGTCATGCACTGGACACGCCCACCATTTTAGCGAAGGGGTGGAAAGTCACAATACATGACATGACATGATGCCATGAGTTTTACACCCTGATCTAGTTCAATCCCTGCCCAAAGCAAATCTACAACAACCTTGACAGATGGCCATCTAAACCAGGAGTGTCAAACTCATGGCCCACAGGCCAGATGCATCACGTACTGGCCATGCCCACCCCTGGTTTAGCGGAGAAAAGTCATATGTCACATGATGTGACACCGTGAGTTTGCCACCCCTGATCTAAACACTGTTTAAATATAGAAAAGGGGAGACCTCCCTATATAGATTATTCCATTATCTTACCCATTTAGGAATTTTTGTTTCATGTCCAATTTAAGTCTGTTTCCTTTTAAGTTAAGTTATTCGAAATACCAGAACAACTTGTAGAGACGGAAGTCACTACTCCCTCGTGCGTCTATCTTCAATTCTACATGCAAAAAGATCTTTAGTCTGAATAGGATTAAAGTGTCCAACAGAAGCCTTGAAAGCTTAATTAAAAGATTAATTGAATTCTGAACATGTATTTTTATTCCTGCAAACACACAGATAGAACATGGGGAAAATTGACTACAGTCAAATGGGAAGTGTTTCTGTACAACAATTCACATAAATATGCCTTTATACTTACTTTTGGCTTTTTTTATCACCTGCTTCAAGAAGCTTATGCAGGTTATAAAAAGGTGAGTGGTTTTGTCTAATGTATTCTGGATGTAGCTTCGTGTATAAGCAGATCATAAGGTTTATAAAATGTATGCAATTCTGTACCATAGAAAAACTTTTATAGTCCAGATTAATAAAACCTTAATAATTTATATTTGTGAATATAAATATAATGATCAAGTGATTAAAAGGATCATCACTTACTTGATGATTTGACCTACTAAGAAAAATGATGTTAATCCAACACTGATAAGGTATTAAGAGTTTAATCTTTAATCAAAAGTCCAGAAAGCATTTTTGAAACCAGAATCCACTTTTCTCCTCTATATATCCACTTCAGATTCTTTCAGTTATTAGGAAAGTCCTTGCCATTTTTCTAAAGTAGCTTCATGCAGATTTTTATGCATTTATATTATTGATGTAAACTCTTCTATTGCCAGTTTCAAGTAGTCTATGGTGGTGGCTATTCTGCCAATGCAAATTCTTTCTTTTGACATCTAGAGTTGAATGCATCTAACATCTCTTTAGTTGTTAAATTGGCTCCTTTCATAATCAATCTTTCACCATCCACTGGAAAAGAAATATAATAATTTAATTATAGAAGAAAAATAAAAAGCAATCAGTAGTGTTAACAGTTCTATGTTACAAAATCAGATAGATATTTAGTAATGTTATTGTCAGTAAGAACAACTAGGACAATTGCTAGGACAATTCCATTTATTTGAACATTAAATGATAAATTATGTTTACAGATATATGAGATTCAATTTGAAATAATCAGCTTTCCATTCTTAAAGAAGGGGTGGCAATACAAACCTAAAGCTGGGATTAGAGGTGCCTTTCACTGAAATAAATCCTGCCACAATCTAGCCCAGTGTTTCTCAACCATAGCAACTTTTAAGATGTGTGGACTTCAACTCCCAAAACTCAGAATTGTTATATGAGCTGGAGAATGCTGGAAGTTGAAGTCCACACATCTTAAATATGCCAAGGTTGAGAAACAGGGATTTAACCAAATACTATAAAACCAAATGGCAGCAGATTCCTGGGTTTCAAGCAATGAATTTTAATATTACCTGGAAATGCCAAGGACAAAATCTGTAATCTACACACTCAAGGTCACCACTGAACTACAAGTTCTTACCCACTTCAACACCATTTACAAAAACAACATTGCCACCATTCGGCTTGATATACAACATATCGTACTAAGTGCCCAAACCAAGTTCTAACACTTAATGGAAAAAGAATCCTCCAAAAAGTGTTTTTACAAAAACACAAAAACCCTAATTACCGTGGTTTCAATCCACATTCAGGTTCCAGATAATAAGCCCTACTGATCTAAAGAGAACTTGAATAAACATGATCAGACATGTTTCAAAGCATGCTTTTTTCAATTGTATTCATACTTTCTCATCTGTTTCTGTTAAAATTCTACATTACTTTTTTAATAGTGACGTCCTATTGTTGTTTTTCTTAAGTAATTTCATTGATAATCTACAGTGGCTTCAAGAAGTTATAATAAGCCATCTAGTGGTAAAAAAACACAACCACAGGATATATAGCTTTACTACAATTGCAGTACTACTGTAGGTATATGTGAAATTAACCTTAATTTAACGTGTATTAGCATATGTATATGTATCTATGTAAAAAAACTGGAAGAGCTTTCAAACCATCTAACAAGACTTACAAACATGATGAGGTCATATTAAAGATTCAAAGAGGAATACTTACAGTAATTCTGCTGATATCTGGAAAGTCACTTTGGTCTAGTGGTTATAAAGATACTAGGCTAGAAACCAGGAGACTATGAGTTAAAATTCCACATTAGCCATTAAAGCCAGCTGTGTGACCTTGGGGCAGTCACCCTCTAAGCGCAATCCTTACTACAGGATTGTTGTTATGGGGAAAATAGGGAGAGGAAAATGGGTTGGATATGTTTACTCGTCACCTTGAGTTATTTGTAAAAATAAAGGCGGGATAAAAAGAAATAAATAAAAATAATACATGTTGCAAAGTATCTCTATAGAAAACATCACATCCAACTATTCTTTATGCTTTTAATTCTCTCATATTTCCTATCATGTGGCACAGAAACAAAATAGAAATGTCAAGTGTTTTAGTCTTAGCAAAGACAATCTGCGAAAGCTAATAGTGCAGTAATAAAGGAATATTACAACCAAGGGAATAAAAGTTGTTTACATTAAAAGCTATTTTGAACAATGTTTGATTTTCAAACTCAAGTATTTATTCACAAATATTTCCTGAAACAGAGGTCATTATAAAAGAAGTACTTCAAAAACTTTGAAACCTTTTTCTAAATAACCACTAATACTTCCAATTCTTTTAGAACTCATATTTTGAGCCATTACATAATATTTAGTTTAGTTTAGTTTACTTTATTGTCATTGCACCTCATACAACGAAATCAAACACCATCTTCATTTCCTGTTATTGATTGTATAAAGTTATATCTTACCAAATGTGATATCTATAACTGGTTCAGTTCCATCATGTTTTACCTCTGTTTTCACATCACAGTTCAAGTTTGATTTGTATGCCTTCTTTTCAAATAGACATTGAAGAAAATTTCTAAAAAGAAGTTGGAGAAAGATAAAAGACTGTAAAAATGTATTTGTATAACTTGTTATATAACAGTTACATACAAAGTACCAATATTTTTCATGTAAAGAGCAAAAGGAGGTCTGTTTAAGAGATCTTGATATATATATAAACACAAGATTGTCTTAACTGCTGAGTTGCTTTGTGCAATATCAATACCCACCTGCTATATATTAACACTGTGGCTGAGCCATAATGATACTAAAATGCTAAGGTATTCTATAGCCATTGTTCAATATGTCATGCGAATTCAGGCAAGAGTTTAATTGTAGTTAAAGAATATTAACTACAACATGATCATGATCTAGACCAGTGGTTCCCAAAGTGGGCAGTACCGCCCCCTGGGGGCGGTGGGATGCATTAGGGGGGCGCTGAGAGGCAAGGGGGCTGGCAGGGGGCTGCTAAGAGGAAGCAGGGGGGCGTTGGAGGTGAGCAGCAGGGCACAATTCAGGGGTGAGAAAAAATCCTGCCGCTGCCGCGTTCGAGTCAAGGCCCCGCAGGATCATCCCACTGATTTGCACGCTCTGGTGCAAGGAGCTCCGCCCCGAACGCAGCATTGGGAATGGAGAGCAAAACCAGAGTGGCTTTGCTCTCCTTTTCAAACATCCCACCGCCGCCGCGTTCCACCCCATTGAGCCCCTTGCACCAGAGGCACCTGCCCAAGCAAGTCCGAACGGAGAGGTGCACGAAGTCAATGGGGTAAGCCTGAGAGAGGGAAAGAGAGAGGAAAGAGAGAAAGAGAGAAGGAAGAAGAGAAAGAGAAAAGGGAAACAAAGAAAAAGGGACAAAGAAAGAGGGGGGAATGGAAGGAAGGAGATAGAAATAAAAAGAAATAAAGGAGGGAGGGAGGAGAAAGTTAATGAGATATCTATTCTAGTCCAATCACCTGCTCCAACAGGGTTAGAAGGGTGTGTGTGTGTGTGTGTGTTCTCTTTGTAATTTACCAATACATTTTGGTTTTGCCTTCTTCAGAATTGGCACTGTAATACATTGGGGAAAAGTAATTTTTTAGGGTGGAGATCTGGTCCAATGGATCCTGTTTAAAGCCTCAACAAAATGTGAGAGCTTCCTGATAGTCTTGACCATGTTTCATCCACAAAACCTTTAATTAATAGAAGCCAAAGATGTTTCAATGTGCTGGCAAAGATGCTGGCAAAGATGTTTCAGTGTGGAAAAGGGCCTCTAAACTAGGCCTCATTTCAATCTGATGCATCAGGTCTCTCTCCCTCTCTCCCCCTTCCCCCTCCATCCCCCCTTTCTTTGTCCCTTTTTCTTTCTTTCTCTTTTCTCTTTCTTTTGTTCCTTCTCTCTTTCTTTTCTCTCTCTCTCTTTCCCTCTCCCAGGCTCACCCCATTGATTTGGTGCACTGCTCCGCTCGGACTTGCTTGGGCAGGTCCTTCCGGTGCAGCGGGCCCAATGGGGTGGACCTGCGGGGCCGGCACCTAGAACGCGGCAGTGCCGGCACATTTGAAAAGTAGAGCAAAGCCAGAGGTCGGTAATTTTTGCTGCAAGGAATCACAAAAGCTTCTGGGGTGTGCACAAGAAGGGACACACATGTCAATGCAATTCAGCAACATAAAATAAATACAAATAAAGCAGATCAACAAGAATTGGCAAAGCATCTCTGATTAGATTTTATTCACTACTAGAATCTAATCAGAGATGCTTTGCTGATTCTAGTCCAATGACCTGCTCCAGCAGGGTCGGAAGGGAGTATGTGTATATGTGTGTGCATGGCTGTCAAAACTCCAAAAACAGGTCAAGTAGTTCTGGGGAAGCCAGTCATAAATTAGAACACTTGCTAAGCAACCGGCCATTAAGTGAGGACCACTTGTATTTGGTTTCCCAGTCACCAAACCACGCTCACCCAGTCATGTGACCAGCAAGCTACACCCATCCAATCACATTACCAGCAAACCACACCCTCAAACTAGGCCACGCCCACATAAATTTGAATCCCACCCCTGGGTGGGGGGCATTAAGGATGAGTTTGTAGCACCAAGGGGGCGGTGGACTGAAAAAGTTTGGGGACCACTGATCTAGACTGTCATCTGACCTGACTTAATCATAAGGTGTTATGATAGCAAACTTACAATTAAATTGCCATTAGCACTACCAGAAATTTGTTTTAAGATGTAGGAATAGCTATACCAATGCTTCTGAAGCAGAATCACCATATCCCTTATTTATTTTTCACCACCTGTTCAAGGGGATGACAGCAGATTAATATCCAGGCACTATCAGATTAAACAAATTCCAGGTCTATTTTAATCAGGATTTAGTCCTGTTTATACTGAAGAAATAATTACAACACTTTTGCATTTTCTGGACATCTCAGATTCTCAGTATCACTACCCATGATTTGCTTCTGCCGGGTGCTCATGGAAACTAAAGTCTAATACAAGACGCTAGCTCGGGAATTAAAACAAATTTAAGTGCAACAGTTACGATCCAGCAACCCTAATATGCCCTCTATCACCTTTGTTTCCCAGTTTTTTTTTTAAGGGAACAACAAGCCTGAGCATCCTTGCATTGACCATTTATTTATTTATTTATTTATTTGATTTGTCAATTGCTTACAAGATAATAGGTATAAGTATATAGATAGTTATGAATACATGAAATGGGTACATATAAGAAAAATAAAAGAAACAATAGGACAGGGATGGTAGGCATGTTGGTGCGCTTATGCACACCCCCTACAGACCTCTTAGGAAAGGGGTGAGGTCAATAGTAGACAGTCTAAGGTTAAAGTTTTTGGGATTTGGGGAAGAAACTACAGAGTCAGGTAGAGTATTCCAGACATTGACCACTCTGTTGCTGAAGTTGTATTTCCTGCAATCAAGTTTGGTGCGGTTAACCTTGAGTTTGTATCTATTGTGTGCTCTTGTGTTGTTATGGTTGAAGCTGAAGTATTCATTGACAGGTAGGACATTGCAATATATAATTTTATATACTATACTTAGATCAGACCGAAGACGGCGTAATTCAAGGTTTTCTAGGTCTAGAATTTCAAGTCTAGTGGCATAAGATATTCTGCAACGAGTAGAGGAGTGGAGAACTCTTCTTGTGAAATATTTCTGGACTTTCTCAACAGTGCTAATATCAGATATGTAATGTGGGTTCCAGACTGATGAGCTGTATTCGAGTATTGGTCTAGCAAATGTTTTGTATGCTCTAGTTAGTAGTGTGATATTACCAGAGAAAAAGCTACGTAGGATTAGGTTAACAACTCTTAATGCCTTTTTGGCTATGTAGTTGCAGTGGGCTCTAGCACTTAGATCATTAGAGATGAGTATTCCAAGGTCCTTTACATAGCTTAGATCATCAACAAGATCTTGACTATTCAGCTTGTATTTTATTTTCGGATTTTTTTTGCCAATATGTAAGACAGAGCATTTATTTGTTGAGATTTGAAGCTGCCATTTGTTTGACCATTCTGATAGATAGTCAAGATCTTTTTGAAGGGTAGCAGTATTGTCTGTGGTATTGAACAGCTTTACATCATCAGCGAAAAGAACGCAGGTGCTCTTAATATGATCACAGAGGTTATTTATTAGAGTATGAAGAGAGTTGGTCCTAGAACACTGCCTTGGGGGACACCACTATTGACAGGTACAGAATTTGATAGGACATTCCCAATTTTGACCATATGTTGTCTGTTTGACAGGAATGCTTCTATCCAGTTATGCAGGTGTCCAAAGATACCATAAGATTTTAGTTTTAGGAGTAGTTTGTCGTGTACCGCTGAATCAAAGGCTTTACAGAAGTCTATGTAGATTGCGTCTATTGCTTTGCCCTGATCGAGTTGTGTAGTCCATATGTTTTTGCAATGTAAGAGTTGCAGATTACATGATAGTTTTTCCTGAAACCTAATTGATTATTGGAGAGAAGGTTGTTTGTCTCTAAGTGGAGGATAATGGATTGGTTAATAAGTGATTCCATGACTTTACAGGTGATATGTACAAATGTACAGATACATTTGCATCCAGATAATTTCTTTCTCGATCCCACTCTCTTGTACGGGATTTAGCCCCAAATTTATTTATTTATTTATTTTATTTTATTTATTTATTTGATTTGCCAATTGTTTACAAGATAATAAGTATAAGTGTATACATAGTTGTGAATACATGAAATGGGTACATATAAGAAAAATAAAAGAAGAATAAGAGAAACAATAGGACAGGGACGGTAGGCACTTTGGTGCGCTTATGCACGCCCCCTACAGACCTCTTAGGAAAGGGGTGAGGTCAATAGTAGACAGTCTAAGGTTAAAGTTTTTGGGGTTTGGGGAAGAAACTACAGAGTCGGGTAGAGTATTCCAGACATTGACCACTCTATTGCTGAAGTCGTATTTCCTGCAATCAAGTTTGGTGCGGTTAACTTTGAGTTTGTATCTATTGTGTGCTCTTGTGTTGTTATGGTTGAAGCTGAAGTATTCATTGACAGGTAGGACATTGCAATGTATGATTTTATATACCATACTTAAATCAGACCGAAGACGGCGTAATTCAAGGTTTTCTAGTTCTAGAATTTCAAGTCTGGTGGCATAAGGTATTCTACAACGAGTAGAGGAGTGGAGAACTCTTCTTGTGAAATATTTCTGGACTTTCTCAATTGTGCTAATATCACATACGTAATGTGGGTTCCAGACTGATGAACTGTATTCGAGTATTGGTCTAGCAAATGTTTTGTATGCTCTGGTTAGTAGTGTGATATTACCAGAGAAAAAGCTACGTAGGATTAGGTTAACAACTCTTAATGCCTTTTTGGCTATGTAGTTGCAGTGGGCTCTAGCACTTAGATCATTAGAGGTGAGTATTCCAAGGTCCTTTACAGAGCTTGGGTCATCAACAAGATCTTGACTATTCAGCTTGTATTTTATTTTCTGATTTTTTTTGCCAATATGTAAGACAGAGCATTTATTTGTTGAGATTTGAAGTTGCCATTTGTTTGACCATTCTGATACATAGTCAAGATCTTTTTGTAGGGTAGCAATATTGTCTGTGGTATTGAACAGCTTTACATCATCAGCGAAAAGAACGCAATTGCTCTTAATATGATCAAATGAGTATTTAGCGCATCCCAAGGAGGGGCAGCTCATTCCTTGCAAACGGCGTTGTTTCCTAAACCTGCCATTCCCATTACACACACAAGTCTCCCATGGTAAAAAAGAAAAAAAAAAAGCATTCGCCTTTATAGTCCTATCCGGAAACTCCGGGCTGGATCTGCAAGCGTCTGGGAAGCCTCTCTCGCGATTCTTCTCACCTGGTGCTTTGCACGTTGAATTCGAAAGGACAAAAGGTGACCAGGACAGTCTTCACCTGCTTGAGCGACACACCAGCCTTCTTCGGGAACACGTACGACATTTTGTCCCACGGGCTGCTCCTTAGTAACCGGAAAACTATAATTCCCAGAATCCCATTCAGGGCGCTTGTGTAGGGCAATTGTCTATGCGCTTAGCCTTCTGGGAAATGTAGTTCATCGTTCTGCTTTATCTTATTATCTCTTCGCAGATTCGTTGGAAGCCCTTCGCTGGGACTGTGCCCGCGTTCCCCAAGTTTTATTTCCAGGAACTGTTTACACGTGGTTAACTGATGTGAATTGCTGGCTTCGTAAAGTTAGCAGAACCATAAGCAAACAACATGAGTTGACTACTTCGTAGTTTAGTGTTTCGTGCGAACTGTGTTTCCCACACTATTGAAGAAAAAAGGCGTTTTTTAGTTGTTTGAGGACACTGTCCCATTTAAGACAAATGATCTTTTGGCAAAGAAAATATACACACAAGTATACCATAGATCAGAAATCCCAAAACAAAATTAAGCAACATCCCTTATGTTTACTGAGCATTCAGTTTGTTTGACTTTTGAGGGATTTATTTCTGAGTAAACACCGATCTTAAAGCTATAATAAAGAATATCTTCCCGTGCACCAATTTTTCCTCTGCTGGTTGATTTCTGTTTGCTCTATGCATGGTGTGTGGAGCTGCTGTTCATAAATGAATTGAAAAGTTCAGATAATACATTATGAGATTATTATTACATTGGTTCTAAAGCCAAATAAACAAATTTCATTAATCATTGGAGGGTTGTTTCATCTTGACCTTAATGTCTTGTGAACTGGTTAAACATAAGGAAAATGGTCATTTAAAAGAATAATAATTATCATGTATTATTTTATATAAGAAAATGGAGTTGGTATTGTTTCAAAAAAGGTAAGTGCTTGATATGTCAAATGGAACAATTGAAAAACTGTTTCAAAATTACCTGTATGAAGCAGCTAACAGCTAAGAACCACAAGCTTAGTGAGCCTGAATGCCAGCTAAAACCATAAGCAGAGGAAGTACAAAAATAACAATAGAGCTTATGCTAGCGAGGGAAAAGATTATAGTAAACTTGTTAAAACCCTATCAACAAAGGTGGAGGGGCTTTTAGGAGAATTGAGTAGGATTCTGTGTCATAAAGGGGAGGGGGGTATGAACTTGTGTAACGGGATAAAAGGTGATGAATGCTTTGTTCACCTTCTGGGCACCCGTGTTTGCAAATACATGAATAAACTACTTTGCTGCTTCCAAATTGTTGTCTCAGGTAGTTCCATATGCAAACGTACACTGTTTATAACCAACCCAACTACTATGGTGTATTCAGTAAAGCATGATAAAGCCAAATATGGCTTAATAATATGCCAAAAGCAGTCTTGATTCACTCATTATGCTAAGTCTCAGTGTGTTTATTTCTTACACAAACCCACATAAATCATGGCTTAAGCTGTGGTATAGACTCTCTCCTTAAGTTGTTATGCTTACCAGATTGCTGCTATGCTCAATTCAAGACATTGCTTCTTACACTTAGATCCTTAAATATCTTTTGAGTTGCCCAGAGTCACGGAGAAGTGGAAAGAAAGAGGAAGATCCTTTTGCTATATCACTTTGCAGATTCTTTAAAACTATCAGCAGAAGTATCATTGGGAAAAAAATTCATATAAAGTATAATTGCCACCTATACTCATTTAGGAGATCAGAGTCTTCTCTGACCTCGTTAGTTACTACGGCTTGAAAGTGCATAGGGACACTTTTGTCTCCAAATCAAAAGTTGTTTCTATGGGTTTCAATTTGATTAACAACAGCAATCCTTGGAAGAGAAGGCTGGAAAAGTAGCAGCTTTCTTGCCAGAAGTCTCTGTATGATGTGTTTTAATGAATCGAATGAATGATATGAAATCCATATGTAAGCACAGGTGAGTAGAAATGTAACAGTATCCTGGGTGGACTAAAAATGCCAAATTCTGGGAGAAAGCAAACAACAACTGATGGGTAAAAATGCCAAGGGGCAGGACATGAACTTCTGTGATCAAGAACTGCCCAAGAACAACTAGATTTCCCTCCAAGTCATCTTTAAATTGTAATAATGCTCCATGACGTTAGCTGCCCAGAAACCAAATACATTCAGGTTTTAAATAAATCAATAAATAAAACAATAAAAGAGAGCTCTGTGAGAAATGTGCAGATGAGTATTATGATGTTCCTCGCAAATATATTCTCTGCCTTATAGGTTATTTTTATTTGCTATGTTGCTGCTTTGATTTGTATATTTTAAAATCTTAAGAGGTAAGATATGTGTCTATCCTTGGAACAAGAATAAGTGGTGTATATTTAGAACATATCACTGAATTTTGATCCTGGCTGAAATGTAATATATTTGGCTATCCGTCAGTGTATTGTTTTTCTGGCAAAAGCAATATGCTGAACAAACAATATCACTGAGAAAGTCTCAATGAATATTAAATTCTTCACCTGATGGACTGACTGTAACAATAAATAATTGAATAATTCTTTTCCATTTTCCTCAATTATTTTGTAAGTGGTATTATATAACATGGCTTCTTATGGAAAATCTTGAAATCTATTGATGCTAATTTTCCCTAGAAAGATGCAAATCTACTTTCATTGAATGTATATTAAACCTTCAACCACAGGATGGCAGTCTTTTCCCACAGCACTTTATACAACACTTTTTAAAAAACCAGAATCGGTATTTTTGAATTCATATTTTCCCAATTGGATATTCTCCATATGCGTTGAGTTACACCTGGCCTAGTTTCTTTCAGCTAGTTAAAAATAATGGGTATTCAGTATATGTGGATGATGTCAAATTAGGAAAAGCTGCTTTGAAAACTTTTGGAAGATACTGGTATTAAAGTTATTTATTATGGCATATTCTTTCTTAGATGTGTAAAATTGGATCAAGTTCATAAAATTCAGTCTTTGCCATAGTAAACCTTTTAGCCCAAGATGTCATCAAACTTGCTTCTTTGATGTACGAGACTAATAACACTCTTCTGCTTTTTGAAGTTAATCCAGTAATAGACCAATGTAACATCTATTGTTCAGGGAACTTTGGTAGATGTTGAAGACTTTAGGTTTCTCGACTCCTTGAATTCCCCAGCAAGCATGAATGGACTTCAACTCTCAGAAATCCTCAGCCAGAATTCCCTCAGGATGCTGCCTGGGGAATTTTAAGGGTTAAAGTCCACAATCTTAAAGTAGCCAAGTTTGAAAAACACTAATCTTGCAAATCTCTTTTATGCCTGCAAAATCTTTTTCAATTAGAGCCTGAATAGAGGTTTTATGAATAAGAGAAGTCACAAAAAAGTCTAGGAACAAAACATTTAAAGAGATAATTTAGAAATTTCATAACATCTTACCACAAACTATGGTTCAATATACCCAGAAGCCATATGTTGTGCTTTTAATGGTATATAATACCAAGACTTTGTTATTGTTTTGTAGAGCTGCTTTGAAGATCTTACACCTGCAGTATTTGTTTTTATGTATCAGTCACTTAATAGCAGCATTGCCTACTTTACTGCATTTTTTAAAAAAAATAGGAGATCTAAATAAATTGAGATGCTGCATTAGCAAATCTTTTTAATAGTTTTTCACACAGTCGCTTGACAAGAGACAGCATTAAAATTTGATTAAACAAATAAATACATGATTTTGAGTTTCAGTCTTTTTTATAAAAAAAAGAAGTGTGAACATAGCTTCCACAGAGGTATGAAATTTTACATTATTATTTACAAAGTGTAGTAGAAGTAGTCCTTGCTTAACAACTTTCCTATTTAGTGACCATTTGAAGTTAGAACAGTGCTGAAAAAGACACTTTATGACTGGTCTTCACACTAACAGCCATCACAGCATCCCTGCAGTCATGTGACTGAGATTTGGTCCCTTTGCAATCTATGGGCACACACATAGCATCCCACAGTCATTTGATTGCCATTTGCATGTGTCACAGCCAGCTTCTAACAAGCAGAGTCAATGGAGAGGTCAGCAATAAAAAATTATGGTCCTGTGAAGTCATCTCACTGTTTAGTGATGACGTTGCCAGTTGCAATTATGGTCATTAAGTGAGGACTATCTGTATTAGGTCTCTGAAGGTTGACTAACAGAGCTAAGAATTAAACAGGAAAAAGTTATGCATGCTTGCTTTTCTTTCAGAATATCTGTTCCCAGTATGACAGACCCTCTCTGCAAAGCTTAACAATTGTTTGAAGTTATGATGACAATTCCCCCCTCTCCAAGTTATGGTCCAGTTTCAAAGTTCTGATGTTGAGAGGCTCCCTTGCTATCACATGACAAATTTTGAGTGCTTAGCAACCATCTTGCATTTATGGCTGTTTGCAGTGCTCCACAGTCACATGACCACGATGTATTACGATTTTGCTGGAAACTAGCATTTACTTCCATGCATGGTATGGTGGATTCAGGCAAGAGTGATATATATATTTCAGTATTGCTTCTAGATCTTTAAAGAGTTGTTTAAGAACTGCTTCATACAAGGATTAAGCAATGGTTTGTTCAACTATGGATTAGGATATAAACCTCAATTTGCTAGGATAAAATAACATTTTAATTAATAATCTGTAGTTTAAAAAGAATAAAGTCTGTGTTAATGACATATATTAAAGATTATATTATATTCATCAAACATTCTAGGTTGTAATATGGTGTGTCTATTGTGACCAACAAATACAGCCTTAGTGCATTTTATAAATTGTGATATATGGCTGATTTTGTGGTACAAACCTAGCCATTTTTACTCAGTTCAACTTAAGGTGGCTAAAGAAAATATAATTTTATGTGCTGTATGAGTCCAGTTATGGGTTGGGGAAAATCATGACTGGAAAGCCATGATTTGATCTTGAATAAATCACCGTTGGCTGGGTCCTTGCACATCAAATCAATAATACAATGGCTTAAAGAGATATCTTTACCCAAATTGAACCCAAATCTCAGGCAAAGAAATAAAATTGCTCAAGGCTAAAATGAGTGGAGTACACCAAGTCCTATTACAGAAAAAGCAATATATTCTTAGCTTTTTCCTTGCTCTTCTATTTTTGAGGAATTAAAAGACATAAT